AAGAGGGGCCAGCATTATTGGAGGTAGCTCATAGACATAATGAGATAATCACTAATCTACCCCAAAAAATCCAGACTGGGCAATCGTCATCTCAGCTCTATGTGGAGGGTATACGTGATATGATCCTTCTTTGACTATTTCAGTGAATCAAATGCCCAAGTTTTTGGCTTGATCAATTAAAATATTTAGCAATAGTTAGTCACATTCAGCTGGACTTCTTCTGCAATTATGGAGGCATTTTGTAGATTGTCCAAGTCACTTCTTCATTTCTCAGAATTGTTAGGAATATTCCTCTGCAATTATATCCAAACAGGTAGCACCAACACCTTGGTCCAATTACCATGGAAAGGCAGATGTTTTTGTCCAAGGACAGGATGTTAGGTGTGAAACCCCCATCCTGTCCTTATGACAATAACATCTGCCTTCCCATGGTAATTGGATTGAGGTGTTGATACTACCTGTTCAGATATAAATGCTGGGATATTTTCCTGACACTCATTGGAACTGTTTTTTTCAACATTACAGAACACGTCCAGTTGGGTGTGATTAACTACTAGATATATCCTCAATAAATAGGAACCTTTACAGATCAATTAACAATCTTTCACATTTAAAGATAATGACCAGCCTTAGCAGAAAACCTAGTTGGGTTTCACTAAATCATTTTCTTTGTTGTGCTGAGCCAATTATTACTTTAAAAGTTAAATACATGGTGGATCACGTTTAGCTATGCATATGCCTATCAAAAAGAAAACACCTCTGACTAAGCCCGTGGGAGGGTGAAATGTGTCAGAGGGGCGTGGCTTGGGAAGGGGACAAGCTGAAGCCAATTTCTACACATGGTGATTGGGCTGGCAACTGATGTGTGGCTCCTTATTCTTTTTGACAATCATTTTCGGTAGGCTGGACAAGCCATGCTGGATGTTGGCATCCAATAGCATTGAAGCCACTGGATTGTTTGTTTGTACATGGAGGGGCACTCATTATTCTTAGGGTCACTATGTGTATGTAGGGTTGCCACCTCATCCCTTTAAAACCAAACACATATTAATTACACAGGTTCTGGGGCTAATTTAATGCAGATGAGGCACTAAGTGAGTTTAATTACCACCCTAATCAGTCACAGAACCTGTGCAATTATATGAGGTGGCAGCCCTATGTGTATGCCTAGCAATAGACTTTATAACATGTTTTTGTTGTCTTCTATGTGAGATGGATGGATATATAATATGGATATAACCAAACTTAGATTCTAAACATGAATATGTTAAATCCTAATTTGAAAGTATGCCAGTATTTCCAAATCAAATTATTTTGAATATAAAAGTTCCTGTTTCTTGCCAAGAATTTAAAGCTTTTCCAGCTCCCTTGTGTGCTCTAAAACTGGGTAATCTGGATCACATGGTCCTTGGCTACCAGAAGAGCTGTGGGGGTTTCAGATCACTAGAGAATTAGTTCTATTTAATCAGACTATACTGTATATGCGCTGCCTGGTAAACTTGCGGTAACAAAAGAGGATAAGGCTGGCCATACATTAGGCAATTTTCTTTTCTTCAACCACGGATTAAAGGAAAAAAATTGCTTGATTTCCCCATCAACACAGTCAGTGTTGGGGAGGGAATCCTGGCACTATTGTGATCTGCCAGCAGGTAGCCTTCCCCATGGTAGAATACAAGGACCACTGCTGGCGGCTATAGTCGCAGGCAGAGATTGACCAAAAAAAAAAAACCCTGATAGACTGATAGATTGATAGTACAACCAGCTTGCCCACAGATGGATCAAAATTCAGGAACTTCCTGCTGAACTGGCCTAATTTCGATCCATTTTCGGCCACCATAAGAAAGGCACAGCCATTGTGCATTGCTATTAGGCAGTACGAAGAGCCTTTTTATTGAATGTGCCAGTATGGCTGGCCAATAATGCATAAACATTTATTGAGAAAAAGGGAGAGTAGACATAGACATCTGAATTGTACATATTTTTAAAACGTTAACATGTAATAGTGTTAATTTACTATAGTATAGTTCGGTTTTCAGTTTACTAAAGGCTTTATCACACAGATTAGGGGATTATACTGCACATGTCGCACTGAGGTCGCTTGTATGTAGAAAAAAAAACAAAAAAAAAATGCAAAGATCATTACAGTGTCTTGTTAAACATACATTGGGGAGATTTACTAAATCTGGTGCAGCTGTGTATGGTAGCCAATCAGCTTCTAGCCTGTTCAATTAAGCTTCGACAGTAAAACCTGGAAGAGGAATGGTTTCAATGCAGACCTGCACCAGATTTTGCACTCTCGAATTTTTGTAAATCTCCCCTTCTCTTTAAAGAAGTCTTTCCTGCTTCTACCTAGTAAACCGCCATTTTTTTTCCTCCATCAGCTCATCCCCCCCACAGCTATTACCTTTTGTATCACTCAACCCTTCCTCCTAGATTGTAAACTCTAATGAGCCGGGCCCTCTGTTTCCTCTTGTACCAAATTGTATTGTAACTGTAATGTCTACCTTCATTTTGTACAGCGCAAACTGTTGGCGCTATATAAATCCTGTATAATAATAATAATCTCCCCCATTCTGTCTAGTGAGAATTGTGAGGTTCTGCTAGATTTCTACTGGGCAGAGCAAAAAAAGAACCTATTTTGGTGGAGATAAAATATGCCATAGAGTCCACATGACAGCCAGGCAACTAGCATATTCAGAAGGTGCAATTAAAAGAACATTTAAACAGTAAGCATTATAATGACCGCCATATTGCAGGGTGGTATCCCAATAATGAAAAAGTCGCTTACGAGTGACGGTCCATCCAATCGCCAAGGGTCGGATACGACTGAATGGATAGATAGATCCCAATAATATTTTTTTTAACCTAATATACTTATTATATCTTAATATTTTAGCCTCTAGCTTATGTATCAGTTTAACAAATCCAAGTTACCTGCAGACATACGATAGTGATCTTTAGGAAATTAGGTTTCAAGCCATTCATTCTGACAGCAGACCAGTGCTGTCTGAACAATCTGTGGAAATAGAATTTTTTTGTCTGATTTCCCTTGTATGAACATTCCTTTCTGTTTATCCAGGGAAACACGTCCAATCCACATACATGTGTAAATGTGGCACGACACTGCCTGCGCCCGGAAGCATTTTGATGTTACCCGGCACCACAAACGCGGGAAGATTGTTAGTGTATATGGAGCGATCTTTCATATTAAATTATACAACCGAAGGATCAGTCAAGACTCTGGCAAGCGCTGTTTTATGCCTACGGGCAGCCTAAGCGTACAGCTACTACAGGCCCTGGATGAGATCCTCCAGGTCCAAGCTAGAATGGCAGTTAGTGGAACAGCCAGCACACGTCTGTTCCAGTTGTTTATTTTACACTAATCCAGTTTACATACTGCAAGGAGCGACTGGAAGAGGGAGGGTGTCATTGCGATGGGAGAGGGGAGAGCGCAGATCTGGGGGCTGTATACTGGGCCCCCCCTTAGGATTATTCTGTGATTAACCAACACTCCCTGTGGCTTTATAGCAGCCCTTGCTGTGAGTCAATGAAGCAGACACACAGTGAAGCAGCATGGAGAAGGAGAAGTGGCGAAGGGGGGAGTTGTGTCAGGCAATGAAGGTGGGGGGGGGGGGGAGATATTTATGAATGAGAGGTCGCACACAGATGGGGAAACAAAAAAAAAAAAACTTCTTCAGCAGCCCAGTTAACAAGAACTGGCTCTGCACATTTATCTGATGACCTTGAAGTTTGAGAGCAAAGGAGGATGGGTGGCGCAATAAGAGAGGGGGGCCTCGGTCTGGCACAAGGAGAAAAGCAAGCTGTGATTTCAGTGCTAAGTCTCTTGCAGGGGCACACAGACCCAATGCGTTAACGTGTCATTTTAACGATGGCGGAAAGGGGGGGGGGGGGGTGCTGCACCCTGTGGACGCTGACTAGGATGTTCATGTTACAGATGACATTACAGAATGAAATGGAGTAGCCGTGGATGGTCAGCAGATCTGAATGGTGAATCATGAGGAAGAGAGAGCTCTCAGCAGTTTATCACTGAGCTCCCCTAGGACAACACAGGGTCAGCCTGCAGAGTGTATGGCTGCCCTCTCTGTGGCCCCTCGCTCAGGCACTTCCCCAGCTCCCATTCTTTTCCCGTACAGGCCAAGTGCTGGAATCCCGCTCCTAATTACCATATCAGTCATCCTGATCTATAAGCAAACACTGAAATGCCTTCATGACCAACTCGAAATGCAGCTGGCTTTCCCAATTGTCCCTGGTGGGGTCTAGTGCCCCCCCTTGCTCAATGATCTCTGATTGGCTTTACCTCTTCACCCAATTCTGCAAAAAGAACAATCTTGCATTCTCCTTAGCAGCCTTTGTGATTATAATCAGCATTAGCCCACTGCCCTGCGGCTCAGTGATCAGACACTGCGCCTCTAAGCGGCTATTTATTTATTTTATTTACTTATATATAGTTGTCAATTTACGCAGCGCTTTACACATATATATATTGTACATTCACATCAGTCCCTAACCCTCAAGGGGCATACAATCTAAGGTCCCTAACTCACATTCATACATACACATACAAGGGCCACTTTAGACAGGAGCCAATTAACCTACCAGCATGTCTTTGGAGTGTGGGAGGAAACCAGAGTACCTGGAGGAAACCCACACAGGCAGAACATGCAAACTCCAGGCAGGTGGTGCCATGGCTGGGATTTGAACTAATGACCCTAGTACTGCCAGGCGGAAGTGCTAACCATTTAGCCACTGTGCTGCCCAAGATGACCCAAGATGGCTGCTTTATCAAAGGTGAGAAATCAGAAAGTCCACAAATAAAGACATTTCGTTAAAATTCATATTTCAAAATTGTATCTAAATTTTTTACAAATCATTTTTTCTACCAAGTATATTTTGTTACTAACGGACTGCATGGCACAAGTGATAGGCTTTAGCCTACAATACATGCTAAAAGATAATTAAAAGTTGAAATGAAGCATTACCCTGTTCACTGGAATTATCCCCACTCTGCGAAGCCAACCCTCCACTGGACGGACCCGGCGTTCCTGAGTGGGTGGAGCCTGTTTCATCATGGTCGCGTATCCATGAATTATTCTGGGAAAAAAGTAAACTATTAGTATTCTGAATTGAGCTGGTACAACCTGTATAGCAAAAAGATTGAATGTGATTTGAAAAAAAAATGCCTACATATCATTCAATTGTTTTGCAAAGATTATATTTTCAACAGACTTATAACAGGGGTCTCCAAATGTTTGAAACAAAGGGCCAGTGTATTGCCTTTAAATATTAGGGGGGCTGGACTGTGGCCAGAGGACGTAGAAAATGCCCTGGTATTGGTGGAAGTAAACAGTGCTTGGTGGTCAGTGGGAGTAAAAATGATGAAATTATTGGTGTCAGTGCAAGAATTAGTTCATCGTCTCTGGTGTCAGTGGGAGGAATAGTACTCCATTGATGGTGTCAATGGGAGGAATAGTGCCCTGTCTTTGGCATCAGTGGAAATAGTACCTCATATTAGTGGAAGGAATAGTTCCCCAAGGACCAGATAAAGGCAAGCAAAGAGCCACATCTGATCCACGGGCTGCAGTTTGGAGACAACTGCTTTGTAGAATTAACTCCTACTATGTATGAATTCCCAATGTCTCAAACAGTGAAGTACATGTAAATGAATTTGAACCCCCATCAGTATCACAGCAGGACAGATCTGAACCAGGAGGAAAAACTCTACTCCCATAATGCAGTAAGTTTCTCTTAATCTGCTGTGTGTAAGGTATGCTTTAGCATTATGTAAAGAAGGGGACACAGACAGACAACACTTTTCAGGGTTGCCGGCCTCTGTTCTATATATTAGATGCTCTCTTAAAAGCTAGCCATACACGTATGCATTTTTCCTATTCAGCCCACTAATGCATTTCTCCATCCACGCTAAGCAGTGTGGATGAAGGAATCTCTACTGCTGGCTATTGTATTTTGAACACTAGCCCCACTGGCTACTGTCAGAATACCAAAACAATGACTGCATGTGATTGGATCCAATCCAATTGCACTGGTTTCCATCTGGCTTCTTTGACAAAAGATGACTTTTGTCAACCAAGTGGTGCCAACAGGGCCACCAACGGATTAAATTTCAACCGGATTCAGTAGGAATTGGTAAAAATCTGAGCCATATATGGCAGGCTTAGGGCAATGAACGTATGTATTATCCTTAAATGGCAACATTTGATCATATTCAACAAATCCTCATTTTAAGGCTTCATGTACATGGCCGTAGAGTGTGTAGTGTAATCACTCTTCATCGACCCTGTTTATGCCATGGACAGGTGTCCATTGAGATGAATTAGAAGTTTTTGGCCAGGGGTTGTATAAAGTACCTGCACGGTACTATGCTCTGAACACGCGCTATCTGTAGGGGCATAAATGTGTGGGTACCTTATTCAATCCCCTGCTGCATAATCGTGTACAGCCGCATCTGCTGAATCAATGGGCAGAGTTACTTATCTAAGAGGCAGAAATTATTCATTGCACAAGGAACCCTACCAATTCCTGTAAGGCCATGTGCATGGAGCCTAGAACAATATCCTGCATTTCAGTCGCTCTTTAAAATACAGAATGTGGCCTACTGTGGGTTGGGTTATCCTTTCAAACATGTATGTCAGGATACATAAGAAGTTCCATGTTATGCAGTCATTTGGACGTATCTGTACAAGGTATACATTTTATACATGTCTTGAACGCCACCACTGATTCAGTAACCTTATCAACCTCTTGTTTGGTCACAAGAGGCGGTTAAATGTTTGATCGCTAACAGGTAGCAGCAGGCTCAGTAACAACACACATTCAGAGAGGAACTTGCAGACATTAGAGGGAGAACTTGATTTTCTATGGTTCCTTTTGTGAGCGCTTTTAGAAAACCTAACACCAGGGAGATAAGAGCAGGATGAAAGGAAATCTGCTGCTTGGGATGTGAGGGGTCGTTTTCATTTGTACATACACCCCCTCTGGGAGCTGAAGTGACCCTTATTGACCCTTTAATCCCACATTCAAAGAGTTTGCTGCCTTTAGGCTCCAGCCCAGCTCCCTCTCTCCTGAACTGTGTAGTTTTAGCTGCTACTTCCAGGTGATCAGAGAGTTTTAGGTTCCAGCTGTGAAGATTTGGATACAGCAGAAACTGTGACCCCTTACCCTGTCCTGATTAACCTGGGGGCTGCAAATGGGACACAAGGGTTAAAGAGGGAGCAGGCTGCAGCTCTGACCTCCAGGAGGGACTATGCAGGGGGAGTTTTGTTTAAAATCTGCAGGGGGTTCGATTCAGACATGAAATGTAAATGAAATACAGGCACTGGGGCCTTTACATGTTAATTCTCTCTTTCTCTTCAACTGCAAAATGAGGAAAATACTCCCATATTTCCAGATAATGACAGAAACATGTTCTGGGGTCAGAGCCTTTGTGACCAAAGTGTAGCAATGACACTGGCGTGTTTTATAGGTCAGTCCTTTCGAGGACCAAAGTATACCAATGTCAGTGGCACATTTAGTGAATCAGTCCTTCTATGGAATGAAATGTGTCAGACATTATCAGGTAGGCCCCCCCAGGATCAGAATGTACTGCTGTACATCGTGTTAAGTCCAAGAAAAAACAGACCAGACCATATTATATAGCCTCCAGTACTGGCATTAATGTCAACCTCATTCATCTTTTTTGGCAGCTTAGACTAAGAAGTGTTTGGAATTGAAAGTAGTAGTCTTCAAGTATAGACTGCCTTAAGTCTATTACATAAAACTTGACTTTAGTAAAGAAAGTCAAACTCCAGTAGGCTCCCTCCCTTAGCTCACTTTTAGTCAGTGGTGATCATAATGTGAGGGAGGAGGGCCACTATGGAAGCTTCTGTAGACTCCACAGAACTTTAATAGTATTTACCACTGTAATAGTATTTGGTCTGTAGTGATCATGATGTGAAAGATAAAGGCCACTATGGAAGCATCTGTAGACTCTACCACTGTAATAGTATTTGGTCAGTGGTGATCATGATGTGAGAGGAGGAGGGCCACTATGGAATCATCTGTAGACTCTACACAACTTTAATAGTATTTACCACTGTAATAGTATTTGGTCAGTGGTGATCATGATGTGAAAGAGGAGGGCCACTATGGAATCATCTGTAGACTCTACACAATAGTATTTACCACTGTAATAGTATTTGGTCTGTAGTGATCATGATGTGAAAGATGAAGGCCACTATGGAAGCATCTGTAGACTCTACCACTGTAATAGTATTTGGTCAGTGGTGATCATGACGTGAAGGAGGAGGGCCACTATGGAAGCATCTGTAGACTCTACACAACTTTAATAGTATTTACCACTGTAATAGTATTTGGTCAGTGGTGATCTTGATGTGAAAGAGGAGGGCCACTATGGAATCATCTGTAGACTCTACACAATAGTATTTACCACTGTAATAGTATTTGGTCAGTGATGATCATGATGTGAAGGAGGAGGGCCACTATGGAAGCTTCTGCAGACTCTACACAACTTAAATAGTATTTACCACTGTAAGTATTTGTCAGTGTAAGTATTTGTCATATGTAAGTATTTGGTCAGTGGTGATCATGATGTGAAAGAGGAGGGCCACTATGGAATCATCTGTAGACTCTACACAATAGTATTTACCACTGTAATAGTATTTGGTCAGTGATGATCATGATGTGAAGGAGGAGGGCCACTATGGAAGCTTCTGCAGACTCTACACAACTTAAATAGTATTTACCACTGTAAGTATTTGTCAGTGTAAGTATTTGTCATATGTAAGTATTTGGTCAGTGGTGATCATGATGTGAAAGAGGAGGGCCACTATGGAAGCCACTGTAGACTCTACACAACTTTAATAGTATTGGGGCAGCACAGTGGCTAAGTGATTAGTACTTCCACCTGGCAGTAGGTTCAAATCCCAACCCCAGCACCACCTGCCTGGAGTTTGCATGTTCTCCCTGTGACTGCGTGGGTTTCCTCCAGGTACTCCGGTTTACTCCCACACTCCAAAGACATGCTGGTAGGTTAATTGGCTCCTGTCTAAATTGGCCCTAGTAAGTATATGTATGAATGTGAGTTAGGGACTTTAGATTGTACGCACCTTGAGGGTTTGGGACTGATGTGAATGTACAATATATATGTGTAAAGCGCTGATATATATATATGTAAAGCGCTGTGTAAATTGATGGCGCTATATAAGTGCCTGAAATAAATAAATAAATATTTACCACTGTAATAGTATTTGGTCAGTGATGATCATGATGTAAAAGAGGAGGGCCACTATGGAAGCCTCTGTAGACTCTACACAACTTTAATAGTGTTTACCACTGTAACAGTATTGGGTCAGTGATGATCATGATGTGAAAGAGGAGGGTCACTATGGAACCTTTGTAGACTCTACACAACTTTAATAGTATTTACCACTGTTATAGTATTTCGTCAGTGGTGATCATGATGTGAAGGAGGAGGGCCACTTATGGAAGCATCTGTAGACTCTACACAACATTAATAGTATTTACCGCTGTAATATAGTATTTGGTCAGTGGTGATCATGATGTGAAGGAGGAGGGCCACTATGGAAGCCACTGTAGACTCTACACAACATTAATAGTATTTACCGCTGTAATAGTATTTCGTCAGTGGTGATTATGATGTGAAGGAGGAGGGCCACTATGGAAGCATCTGTAGACTTTACACAACATTAATAGTATTTACCTCTGTAATAGTATTTCGTCAATGGTGATTATGATGTGAAGGAGGAGGGCCACTATGGAAGCATCTGCAGGCTCTACACAACTTTAATAGTATTTACTACTGTAATAGTATTTGGTCAGTGGTGATCATGATGTGAAGGAGGAGAGCCACTAAGGAAGCATCTGTAGACTGTACACAACTTTAATAGTATTTGCACTACAATGTTTCTTTGATCTCTATATTTGATGGCTAAGTGTCCCAACAGGAACACTATTTGCATGGAGTTTGATGCTCTCCCTGTCTGTGCATGGGTTTCTTCCAGATGACCAGGGTTCTCTTAATAATACTGGTAAATCATGACTATTCCAACAAACGT